AAATAACAAATGATCAAATAAAATGAGCAATTTTTCCAACAAAAAAAAAACCCTCCTTAAAATCAACTTTATCTAAAAGGCTTTTGATGTACTAAATATTGAACCATTATTTTAGATATTTCTTTAGAATTTCCCTTCAAAGCTTCTCTTGCAACTCCACTGGCCTTCATATTGATAATTCTTTGGCCAATTGAAAAGGTAATTGAAATAAATTACTCATCCAGATCATATAATTATTGATGCCATAATTATATGAGATGGAATTCAGATATTAGATTAATCTTTTTGACAGAAATGAATAAAGTGAACACTTCACACTTATTTATATTTGCATAAATCATATTTTTTATTAGAAAAGTTTCCTTTACTTAATGTGAAAGAATTCTTGAATATTAATATATAAGTGGTTAAATTATCAGACTAAAATTCTACAAAAAATATTAAATAACCAGGCAATATTTTGTGATTCTTACTCACAATTGATTATTTAATTTCTTTATGATAAACATTAAATCTTACTAAGTGTTTAATTATATAGTTTATATTTCTGTAGTTTATTATTGCTAGTTAGGCTAATTATATTTCTTTCAAAGTTTCTCTAATAAAATAATAAAATGAGAATTTAATCTAATATCGCATCATTATTTTGAGTAATCTTATCTTAGATTGATATTCATAACTTTTTATCAAAATCATTTTATGATTGTTCATATTTTCCTTGAATAATTTCTAAATACTCTTCAATGTTATTGAAATATTAATTAATATCAACTAAATTTCTTATGATCTAAAATATTCTATTGAAAATTTACACTTTAATCAAAAGAGTAGCTAAAGCATCAATCAAATTCCTAGTTTTATATTGAGAATAGAATAAATTTGTAAATACTTCAATAATCTTGTTCCATAAAGCAAGATACTTTACTTTAAAAGAACACATAATTTTCACAAATTCAAATAAAAAGGTCATGTTTATATCATCATAACTGCGTTTAATTTGGCATAAAAATATAATGGATAGTCACTTAAATATAATTGCTAAAAATTAAAAAGGGTGAAGTTATTATAGAAATGATATCTATTACATTTCTGCTGATTGAACACAATTTTTTCTTTCTAAAAGTCAATTCGTCTTTAAATATTAAATAGAATAGTTATTTTCAATAGTACAGATATAGTGTTCACATATTAAGCTGAATAACGGCCATAAGATAAATTGTTTCTTTATAAATATTGCTTTGATCCATTTATCCAGAATTATTTTTTTTTGCCTTTTTATAATTAAGGTCGATAAATAAACCTAATCAACATCTAATGAACAATAAAGAAGGACTGCAGCG